GCCTGGAGAAGCCAGTGGAATGAATGTTCTTGGTTACGGGCTGAACCTATTTTTAGCTTTGATAGATGAGACTTCGCTCCCCTCGCTCCCCTCGCTCACCACCCTCACTCTCTTGCCGGAGCTGCTGAGATGTTGCCTGCCTCCGAGGCTCCCACTCAGCTTGCCACCGTGAGCTCCAGCCTTTTAAGTAGAGGTAAAGAAGTGGGTGCTGTGCAGGGAGCTCGCAATCAGGCTTCCTGAGTCCTCCTTCGGGAGAGCCTGAGAAAAAGCAGTGCAAGCGAGAGGGATTCGTTTAAGAAAAACCCCATTTTAAAAAAAATTGCTACTGTGGTGGCTGAGATCGGAGTTCGAATTCTGGAGGAAGCTCACTAGGTGACTTCAGCCTAGTCTCTTTCTCTTTGGTGTAGTGGTTAGGAACATGGACTCTAATCTGGGAGAGCCAGGTTTGATCCCCCAATGCTCCACATGCAGCTGCTGGTGTGACCTTGGGTCGGTCACAAGTTCTTTCTGAGCTGTTATCTCAAGAGCAGTTCTCAAAAGAGCTCTCTCAGCCCCACCTACCTCACAAGCAGTGTTCCCTCTGAGTTAAAGTGAGCTAGCTCACAGTTTTTTAGCCTCTGGCTCACACATTTTTGTCTTAGCTCAGGAAGGATGACTCCAGAGTAAACTAATTTATGCTGTAGCCAAATCGCTCCCTCACAGCTTCTATGCCAATAACTCACAAAGTAGAATTTTTTGCTCACAAGACTCCACAGCTTAGAGGGAGCACTGCTCACAGGGTGTCTGGTGTGGGGAGGGGAAGGGAAAGGAGTTTGTAAGCCGCTCTGAGACACCTTCGGGTAGTGAAGGGCGGGGTATAAATCCAGTCTCCTCCTACTTCTTCTCTCTGTCTAACCTTCCTCACAGGGCTATTATGGGTATTGATTAATATATATAACATGGATAAAACCATATAGATAGTTTTAGGGGGTAGCCTTGTTGGTCTACAGTGCAACAACTAGATTAGAGTCCAGTAGTACCTTGGGGACCAACCGGACAAAGGGTACTTTGATGCTTGAAAGTTTCTACCCTGAAAATCTGGTTGGTCTCCAAGGTGTGACTGGACTCTCATCTAATGGATAAAACCAGTAGGATAAGGGATTCCCTGTGATTTTGCAACGGAAACCAAAGTGGAATCAGAAATGTGAGCTATGCCCTGCTCTCCTTCGCCCATAATATTAGAACTTGGGGTACCAAGTGAGGCTGATGGACCATAGATTGAGTACTGAGTGGACGGGGAAGCTTCAGATAACCGTCCCTCCAAATGCCCCCCCACACACATACTCAGCATCCAGACAAAGGACATAAAGATCTTTTGGCAAAAGTTTTATTTGTCTCGATTCTATAAAGCATTTCCATGTGCGCATCAGAATCTTTGTTCCCCTAATAATGGTCATCGTAGTTCCTTTGCTTGTCCTAATTAGCCTCCCCCACCCCAGCGTCACCCTTACACGTGGCTGTCTGACAACATCATTGGATTCCTTCCGTATGGTAGATCGAACACGCAGGCGAACATCAGGACAGAGTCATGCCATGTTATAAATAAAGCTCGGAGAACTCCGTTTCCAGAGAACAGGAAATGAAGTGACGATCAGCCATTCCTGGCAGACAAATATCTCCCATGATATCACAAAATTATTCAAGTTGAGCTAGATTCGACTCTAGTAGCAACCTCTAGTCCAACGAGGTTTTCAGGGTATAAGCTTTCAAGAGTCTGAGCTTTGTCTCTCGAAAACATATACCCCCAAAATCTAGTTGGCCTCTAAGATGCTTCTGGATTTGAACTTAGCTGTTCAACTCAGGGGTCATTTCCTGCCGGGGCGCCCCAGAGCGGTGCTCCGGCAGTAAGGACTCAGGGAGGGGGGGATTTAAATGCCTGTGTTCCCTGCCTCCCTGCCCTTCCTGTCTCCAGCCATCCCCCAGTAGCGGGTTGGCTGGAGACGGGAAGGGCAGGGAGGCAGACATGTCTGCCCCTGCATTCCCCCCTGAGCCTGTCCTTTTTCAGGGGGTGTGGCATATGCAAATGAGTTATGCAGATGAGGTCCTGCACCTCTTTTTCTAGGAAATGACCCCTGGTTCAACTACAGACTGACACAGCTACCCTCCGAAACTTACTCAGGTTGTTATTTTCAGATTTTACAATGGTCTGCTTTGGTGGAACTAAAAGATTTCTTTGGATCTATAGTGGGTTTGCAACTCAGCAGGTGAGGCTCTACCACCCATCTGATGTTCCCCATCCATGAGTTGAAGACCTCTGGGTTATACTGTGGTCTCTGAGCTTCTCTCGGGCGCAGAAGGGAACACAGCTGTTCAGCTTCACCCCCAGTGATTGGTAGGCCTATGTAAACCTCTGGAATGATCAGGTCTGGTATAAATATAAGGAGGAGCCTGGTTGAATGCCTTTGCCAGGTCAATGGAGCTATAGAATTATAGAATCACAGAGTTGGAAGGGGCCATACAGGCCATCTAGTCCAACCCACTGCTCAATGCAGGATCAGTCTAGAGCACCCCTGAAGTGTTTGTCCAGCCACTGCTGAAAGACTGCCGGGGAGGGGGAGCTCACCACCTCCCTAGGCAGCTGATCCCACTCTAGCACAACTCTTACTGTAAAAAAGGTTTTCCTAATATTCAGCCGCCCTTAATTTAAACCCATGATTGTGAGTCCTATCCTCTGCTGCCAGCAGGAACAGCTCCCTGACCTTCCTCTAAGCGACAGCCCTTCTGATACTTCAAGGGAGACATCCTGTCCCCCTTCAACCTCCCCTTCTCCAGACTGAACATTCCCCGAGTCCCTCAGCCTTTCCTCCTATGGCTTCTTAATAAGAACATAAGGCCAAAGGCCCATCCCGTCCAACGCTCTGTGTCACACAGTGGCCAGAAATACCAGTGCCATCAGGAGGTCCACCAGTGGGGCCAGGACATTAGAAGCCCTCCCACTGTTGACCCCCGCCCAAGCACCAAGATGACAGAGCATCACTTGCCCCAGAGCCCCTATAATAGCCACTGATGGACCTCTGCTCCATATGCTTATCTAATTCCCTTTTGAAGCCGTCCATGCTTGTAGCCGCCACCACTTCCTGTGGCAGTGAATTCCATGTGTTAATCACTCTTTGGGTAAAGAAGTACTTCCTTTTATCCGTTCTAACCCGACCGCTCAGCAGTTTCATGGAGTGCCCACGGGTTCTTGTACTGTGAGAAAGGGAGAAAAGTACCTCTTTCTCTACCTGCTCTTTCCCATGCATAATCTTATAAACCTCGATCATGTCACCCCTCAGTCGTTCTTGGTCTCCAGCCCAGACTGTGCCTTCTGCAGTTCTAGAACTCAGAGCTGGCCCCAGCACAGACTCACAGATCCCATTCCAGTAGCTGACCTCAGGGACTCTGAGCTGGGGAACGCCATTCTTGCCCAGGTTGGGTTATAGCCAGGTGTAGTCCCTGGCCCTAACAGGTGAAGAGGGCCAGCTAGAACTGACCTGGGTGCCCTGACCTGGATGGCCCAGGCTGTCCTAATCTCATTATATCTTGGAAGCTAAGCAGGGTCGGCCCTGGTTAGTTCTAAGGAAGTTGACTTGATGGCACTTTCTAACACCACTGGGTGTGTGTGTGCGCGCGCGCGTGTGTGTGCCGTGACCTAGATAGCCCAGCTGAGCCCCGTCTCCTCAGATCTTGGAAGCTAAGGAGGGTCAGCCCTGCTTTGTACTTGGATGGGAGACCACCCGGGCCCATAGCCAGGATTTTTACATTCAGGGGGCCTTTAAATAAGTCAGAGGGCACCCCCACACAGACACCCCCCCCAAGGGAGCACCACAAATAAAATAAAAAATAGGAAGTTTGGGGAGGCTGGGCTGGGTGGGAAGTCGGGGGGGGGCTTGGCAGTAAGTCAGGAGGGCTGGGCCCCCAGACGCCTCACTGTAGCTACAGGCCTGGAACCACCAAGGGCATCCAGGTGGCTACGCAGAGGCAGGCAATGACAAACCACTTCATGTGTGTCTCTTGCCTTGAAAACCATGGGGGGGGGGGTTTCCACCATGAGTCGGCTGTGACTTAACACTTTCCGCCACCACCAGAAATGAGGAATGACAACTCTTTTCGTAGACAGGATGTGGGTGTTCCCAGTTGCCCGTGATTTTGCAGCGGGAACCCAAGTAGAGTGAGATTGGGGGGAGGGGGGGGTGTATGGATTCCTTTTGCGATAGCAACAAATGAGACTCCGTTCATGAAGGGAAG